GAGCAGGCAGCAAGGAATGGGGCGGAGGAGCTGGGGGAGCTGTGAAGAAAGTGGGGTCTTGGAGGCCTTTGGTGGGAGGCGAGAGATTTGGGGCCGGAGGGGAAGAGCGTGGGAGTGCAGCGTGGCCGAGCCGCGTCCCCGGCTGTGGGCAGCTAGGCCAGGGCGGGGGCGGGCGCTGCTGGGTCGCGGGTTTCATTCTGCGAGCAGTACCAAGGGGTAAAAGGATAGTAGTGCCCTCTCAGCTCGGAGCAGAGCCGCATCAGTTACCTTTAAAAACAGGATCCTCTTCATTCGGCCTAACAGTTTCTGCTGTTGTAAATTCCACACATGTGGCATGGATTTATCCGCAGTTAGCAGTTGTAGGTGTTGGTGGAAGTGTTCGGGGGAGCCCCGGTCCTGCTGCACCGTGACCGCTCTCGTCTTCCCCGAGTGGTGGCACGTGTGGCGAGGTGAGGGGCTGAGACCCGACGCGGTCAGCAGCCGCCGGCCTGGCCGACCCCGACGGACGCTGGGCTCCGCTGCTGGGTGCTTGCCTTTCCCCGCTCTCCGTCCTCCTAGCTGCGCACCCCTGTGCTGTGCCAGGGTTTGGTGGGACCTAAGGAAAGCCGATCACCTTCCTCCAGCGTTCGCGTGTCATCCAGTGAGCGGCGTGGCCTCGTTACTCGTGTGTTAGTACGTGTGTGTTAGAGGAGAAGGCCCGCATCCAGACGAGGCCGCTCTGGGAGGCAGTAGGCCCTGAGCAGAAGGAGGAGCCGGGAGGATTGGGGGGAGGAGGGGGAGGATTGGGGGAGGGGGAATAGAAGGGGGAGGAGGAGCGGGGAGGATTGGGGGGAGGAAGAGGGGGAGGATTGGGGGAGGGGGAGGAGGAGCGGGGAGGATTGGGGGGAGGAAGAGGGGGAGGATTGGGGGAGGGGGAGGAGGAGCGGGGAGGATTGGGGGAGGAAGAGGGGGAGGATTGGGGGAGGAGGGGGAGTGGGGAGGATTGGGGGAGGAGGGGGAGGACTGGGGGAGGAGGAGGAGTGGGGAGGAGGGGGAGGACTGGGGGAGGAGGAGGAGTGGGGAGGAGGGGGAGGACTGGGGGAGGAGGAGGGCGAGGAGCGGGGAGGATTGGGGGGAGGACGGGCAGGATTGGGGAGGAGGAGTAGGAGGGGGAATAGAAGGGGGAGGAGGAGCGGGGAGAATTGGGCGGAAGAGGAGGGGGAGGAGCGGGGAGGATTGGGGGGAGGAAGAGGGGGAGGATTGGGGGAGGAGGAGGAGCGGGAGGATTGGGGGAGGAGGGGAAGGACTGGGGGGAGGAAGAGCGAGGGAAAAGAGCGGGGAGGAGAGTCCCCGACTACAGGGCCCGCGGGAGGACTGGAGCTGCGAGGAGCCTGGTGTCTGCAGGGCCCCACAGTGGAGCTCCAGGGGAGTCTGTCATGGCTGGCTGGCGACCGTCTGACCATCTTTATTTTTACTGTATCCCTACAGAGAATGCCTTTGGCTTTACGGTGTTTGCAACTGAGATTCCGTGAAGGCGGGCTTCTCGAACCAGTGGTCTCGGGTTTCCTCCGCCGGGGTCTTTGGCATCAGAGATGCAGTGTGTGAGGAAGCTGGTGGAGTAGAGAATACTCCCAGGTGTTACGATCGGAATGGTGATTAGATCAGTGTCAGGGAGAGAACGGCTCAGAGTAACTGTGGCAGGATGTAGATTTTATTTTTATGGTTGGCCCAGTGGACTTCGGATTCAGTGGTTTCCACAGTACCCGTCCTTGTATTCAGTTCAGCTGGTGAGAGTGGTCTGGGTGCTGTCTACCCGACATACACCGGAGGCAGTTGTCATGCCTGGACTGTCTCAGGATCCAAGATGCTGGAGAGGCTACACAAGTACAAAGACTTTTTAATTTTTCATGTGCAATTTGGGTGTCTGAGTGTGCTTTGTCATATATCTGCCTCAGGAGTCCACCTTAGCGTGCTGTAAAACCTGTTTTAAAAATAGGTATGAGCCACTGGGTGCCACCGAGGTTGGTGACACAAAGGCGTGAGTTTGCAGAGCAGTGTGCTTCTGAAGAGAGATTTTTTGGTAAAGCAACAACAAAGATTTGAATTTTTATTTGTATAGATTGGTAAAAGGGACTCTATGCTTTTTATGTTGTTAGATAATTGAAATTCATGGCTGTAGCTTGATAAATATTTTAAAATTGGCTTTCAGATTATCTTATTTAGAGGCAGGCAGTGTTTTTCCCTCACCTTTATTGAAGCTCATTCTGCTGTTTTGGTTTTAATTATTATTTATATATGAGCATTTAAGTATTCCCTAAATATATTAAATATCTCATAGATTTCATGGGTTTATTGATACAGCCTTTCGTATTTGTGTATGAGATGTGTATCTGCACTGTTGGGGAGGGTAGGGAAGGAGACTTATCTTGGTAGGTGATCTGGAAGTTTTTCAGTAAAGAGTGTAAAATAAAAGGGGGTTAACTAGACAAGTAGATATTCTCCTTCTTTTTTGTTTCTTTGTTCATTTCTTAGGGTCTGCGGGGGGGGGGGGGGGACTGATTAGCTTTTGTCATGCCCAGCAAACAGTGAAAGGTGTAATGTGGTAATGAACGTCCTGTAGCAGAATCAGTGTGGACAATCGTAGACCAGAATGTGACTGAAATTAGTGACTCCCCCCAGAGACTCCAGGACTGGGATTTTAAGCCAGTAAAGGAAAACTCCCCAAAATCCTGTTGAGAGAAACAAAGGTAACCATACCTGCTGGAGAAGCTTCTGAGGAGGAGGTGAACTTTCAAATTTCCAATTCATGTCTGTGTAGTTGAGAACTGACTTTGTGATCTTATAATGAAGGAGTTATTTTTACCTGTATGTCAACACAAAAATGGTGGCCTGTGTTCTTGTTCTCAGTTTGTTCATCCTTCCCTCCCTGCTTTTCTAGCCCTGGAGATTGAACCTACATCTTTCCCAAGGAGCTATATCCCTAACCCATTTTATTTTTTAACCTTGAGACAGGCTCTCTCTCAAGCTGCCCAGCCCAGACTCAGTCCTGTGATCCCTCCTGCCCGAGCCTCCTGGCGCCAGGGTGACCTTCACGCGCCCCACACGCACTCTCAGTTGGTTTCCATGTTTGAAAGGGAAATATAGAAAGTCTCCCAGTTCCTGTATGAGGAATTTGGGAGTGGGGTGGGTTTTTTTTTTTCTTTATTTCCTTTTTTATTAGTGGACGTTTGCACTTCATTAAGTGCACATTCATTGAGGGAGGAGTGCATGCACATAGCAGTGTGATTTTATTTTATTTCCCTGACCCTCCCCACACCTGGGACAATTTAAAATACAAAAATGAATAATGAAAGCAGTTCTCATTGGAGAGCTATGCGTTCTGAGCTGTGGTAGGCATTTTATGTATACCCTTTATTGGTCACAAAATCCTTTTCTGGGGTGACCAGGTCCAGGTGCTCCTGATTTATGAGCGGTGAAGTGGCTTCTTCAGGATTCCATTTGAGCTCCACAGGGCTTTCCATTCTGTGAGCTGCTCTTTCCACTGTGCCATGCTATTTGACAGGAATTTCAAAACAGTTTTGCTTGGATTTGATCCATTAAAAATGACAATATTAATATCTTAGGAACGGTATTAAATAATTGGGGCTGTAGCTGTCAAAAATACAAGCATTAACTTGGAAACCCTGCTTTGCCTTAGAGGGTGATGTCTGACGTTTGTTCTTGATAGCAGACTTCATTGTAATGAATGCCAGTGTGTTCTGGGTCCCTCCTTCCGTAGGCTTTCTGGGGCTCTTCTGCCGTTGGTCGCTGTGGTGCTAGGATTGGCTCTGTCATGTGCTTTGCTTCCCCACTTCTGAGATCTGGTGTGGCCTTGGTGATCCTTGTTGGTAGTGAGTGCCAGGGTCAGCTTCTGGTTTTAAAGCTGGTTTTGGTTCATCCTTAAACCATACCAGAGGAGCTGTCAGGGCCAGTGTTGTCCTGCAACTAGCAGAGCGTGCTGGGGTGACTGGAATTGGTTTGAAATTCTCTCTAGGGCTAAAGAATGATCATATTTAAGACTCTGTTAGATACATGAGATAGGTGTGATCTTCTGGGAGGGTGGTCTGTGGTTTCTAAATAGTAGCCAGACTGGTATCTCAGAAGTCCTTAATTATTGTCTTTTTTTTTTTTTTTTTTTTTTTTTTTTTTGAGACAAGATCTCACTCTGTAGTTCAGACTGGCCTGGAGTTCACTCTGTAGCTAAGGCTGGCCTTGAACTCTTAGTGATCCTCCTGCCTCAGTCTCTTGAGTGCTGGCATTATAGATATGTGCCACCACACCTGGCAATGTCTGTGAAATTAACTCTAGCATTGGTTTAATATTTAATATAAATTTTGTTGCTGTTGTTATTTTGTTTTTTGTCTTTTTGAGACAGGGTCTCACTATGCAGTTCATACTGACCTTGAACTTACTTTGTATCCCAGGCTGGCCTTGAACTTGCAGTGATCCTCCTGCCTCAGCATCTCGAGTGCAGGGATTATAAATTTCTCTGGTCATTTGATTTTACTTCCGTTTTTTGTTTACTGAGTATCAAGGAAAATCATGATTATACATGTTGGCATCTCTGTCAGTCCCTCCACTAGCAACAGTAATTTAAAGATGTTTCTTGATAGGGGCCACAGCAACATTGATCAGTTACTAAGTGAGCCAGCTGGTTTTCATTGTTTGTGACTATATACATGAAGACTTTCCAGGATAACTTTGGACATTTTGATACTTACTTAAAATGTTCCGTTTGCTTAAAAAACAATTCATTCTGTTTTAGGAATGTTCATACATTGTCTTTACACACAGAAAAAGCTTAACTGATTTTTGTTTACTGAAGAGAACCTGTTGCTAAAATAGTAATGAGGAAGGGTGTAACACAAGTATAGTTGTGCACCCCTTGCTCTGTAAGTAACCGGAGCGCTCGGGGTGTGCTGGTCAGCCTCCCTCGGGAAGGTGGAAGTAAACTCACTGGTGTGTTTTTCTCTCTTGTGCAGCCTAAAATGATGAGTGTGTAAACTCAGTGGAATAAATGGCGTCCAAAGTCACAGATGCTATAGTCTGGTATCAAAAGAAGGTAAGTTCAACTTTTAAAGTGGTTTAATTTCAAAACTCTGTTTATTTTGAGGAATAGCTTTATGTTAAATATTGCCTAAAATAGTGACAAAATTAGGTTTTTAGATTTTTGAATGCAAAGGGAAAGTTTCCTTGTACTTGATTTACTTCTAATTGGAAGGATTATGCCTAAAAATACTTCTGTACTTTTTATTCCACAATATCAGTGTAGCTGGATTAGTCAGTTAAAACAAACAGAATATAATTAGAATTATATAAAGAGCATTAAATTTTTCTTTTTAGGAGGATCAGGTGTAATAAAAGTTATAATTTTGTTTATAATTCTCTTTTCTAAAGTTTAAAAGAAGATAGATTGTCTTAAAACTAAATTGTTTACTGTTAAAATCATTTATATTTTAAAATAATGTTTTATATGGTATCTTACATTTTTAGTGTGTATAATGAATGTGTTTGTTTACACATCTTGAAATATTTTTGATGCTTATTTTTCAGATCTATAGTAACAAAATATAATTATACATTTAAAGCTTTATTTTATGAGAGAAAATGAAACAATTTAAAATTAGTTGAAATGGATATAAGTGATAAAACATTGTAAAGATTAGATAAATCTAATAATGTAGCCTGTCTTTGGGTATGTTATATATTTCTGGGTAGAACGTACTACAGATACATAATGTCACATTTTTCATAGAAGGTACTTAATGGGAAGTACTATGCTAATTTATGATTAAGTCAGTTTTTTTGTGATCCTGTAATGTCGCCTTTAAGTGTAAATTTTAATCAATTAAAAACCTATGTGCTTAGCAAAAGAAGTGAATAAAGGAAAATCACACAGAATTGAACACAGATCTTGGAAAGATCTTTTCTTTCCTTACTTCTGTTTATGGAGAAGCATGTATGATATGCGTCCTCTCTCTGGCCTTCTGCATTCCGCAGTTGGAAGTGGAGCTCCTGCTCCGAACGCACTGTGCTTGGCTGACCTTTCTTGGGATGGGATGGGAGGACTTGGAATGTTAGGCTCAGGCAAGGGAGTGCAGTGACACCAATACCGCCTGTGTCTCAGGATCACTTACTTAGCAGCTTCAGACTTGTGCAGCCACTATTTCCCCAGAGCAGCCGCACAGGAGGTGTGAAACACACCAGGAAATACAGTGACGCATTTCATGTTAGGGACCTACTAGAACCACTATCTGGATTTCATTGGCTCTTTTTTTTTTTTTTGGCTTTTACATACCTTGAAGGAGTATTATTTCAGAGCTTCCTGTAAAAAGAAAAAGAAACAGCAGGCACCCATCCTGTAGGGCCTTCCTTTAACCTTGCCAGGTCTGAATTCGGCTGCCCAGAGGCAGTCAGTTTAAAGTCTCAGCCCAAAGTTCTGCTCCTCTTCATTCATCATGAGTGGCCACTTCGACTGAGAACTGCGGAGTTCTGCACATGGCCTCAGAGTAAATGGTTGAGCCTCTGAGGTCTGCAAAGTCCTTGTCTCGGGTACCCTGCCATTAGAGCGCAGAATGCAGCCACAGGCAGTATGGAAAGTGAATCCGCCCGGCTGCCCAGCTGCGGTCCCGGTCCATACAAGTTAATTTGTAAAACAGACAAAGCTGGATTTGGCCCACAGGTCTTAGTAGCCTCCATAGCACAAGGATTGTCCTGCCCCAGAATGAGTAATGTCCAGTTGAATAACATTAGTTTTTTAAAAAATTATATTTGCTGTGTGTTTTTACTTTTTTTTTTTTTTTTTTTTTTTGTCTTTTTTTGAGACAGGGTCACTCTATGCAGTTCAGGCTGGCCTTGAGCTCACTTTGTAGCCCAGGCTGGTCTCAAACTTGCAATGATCCTCCCACATTAGCCTCCGAGTGCTAGGATTACAGGCGTGAGCCACCATGCCCAGCTGCTGTGTGTTTTTAAACATGCATACCTTTTCTTGCTTATTTCCTTGTAGGTGTTATTTCTGACTGTTTGAAAAAGTTTTCACTTTTTTTTTTTGGTACGGGGAATTGAACTCACCACCTTGCCAGGCAGGTGCTTGTGCCACTGAGCTAAATCCCCAGCCCCAGCTTAAGCTTTTTTTTTTTTTTAAATAAGCTTCCCTTAAGCCCACTTTGGTTCTTCAGTGACTACAAATTCTGGTGAAATCAGCGGTCACTGCTTCTATTATTATGTTTATGTCGGCTTCAGTGACACCCGTGTCCTATAAGGCACTGTAACATTTCCAGAGGCCCTGGCTGACTCACTCCACAGAGTCAGCAGAAGCGCTTCGGTGCAGGAGCAAGGCTCCTGTTCTTGCAGCTGAAAGCAGGAAGCTGCGGGGACAGGACAGCCGTCCCAGACTGACCCAGACGGAGGAGACAGTTGTTGGCTTTGTTGGCTGCATTGCGGCCAAGGCCTGGGCCAGGGCCCAGGGCATGTGTTTTGCTGTGCTAATAAAGTAAAGGTTACTTGAGTGACTCCTCCTTACGTGTATCTGTCCCTTGCCATCTGGAATTTTGCCCCTGACCATTGGAGAAAATTCCTAATTTGGATTTTGGAGCAAATTATAATGCAAGCCAAGGATATTATTTGGGGGGAAAATATATCTAATGTTCATGCTTACAGCTCACTTGTCAGGCCTCAATGGCTTTGATCTTAGTGATCGTGGTGGTGCTGGAATTCTGTTTGGATGTGTTTTGTTTGCTTGTTTTCTTCTCCCTTCTTGGGCTGTCTACCGACCTGCTTTTGAAGGCTGAGCCCACTTCTCAGCCTCCCTCCTGCTGTGTTATCTTACTTTTGTAGCCTTGAAGATTGTGTTTCCTTCAGTTCCCACTTTGCCTCTGTGTCCGTTACCGCAGGCTGACAGTCAGCTGAGCCAGCTCAGCCCCATGAACCTGTGTCATGGTCCAGGCCTCGCAGGTGTCCATCAGGCTGTCCTCCCTGCTCGGGAATGGTCTTCCTGGAACTGTCCGGTGTGCAGCCAACTGGCTGGGCGGGCTTGAGCGCTGCCTTTCAATGTCAGCCTGCGAGTTCCCCTCACTGACCTTAGATCATACCCATTTATTTTTCTTTTCAGTATGTGCTTATGAACAATCCTTTTCCAGCTGATTATGCTTTAGTAAAAGGAAGACTTGAGTACTCAAATGGACACTTGCTGAGTATTGATCATAGGCAAACAGTTTTTTTAAGCTTTGGTTTCTCTTCTCTATAATGACCAGATCGATTCTCGGTGTCTTCACAGGTCCCTGTGAAATTGTGATGCAAGCCAAGGGTCTTATTTTGCTGAAAAATATATCTAATGTTCATGCATACAAAATGTCACATTTGATTTGGAACCCAGGTTAGAATGTCCTGGATTAGGTGATTGAAAAGTTTCATGTTTTACCGTTGTTTTTATGTCTGTCATTCAGTGGTAGCCAGCTTAGACGGGCTGGGATCATTCCTTGTAAATGAAAACCATGTTTTTGAGTATTTGTTTATCTGACTTATTTTCATCACCTTTTTCTCCTGGAAAACACTGACATTTTCGAATGTTTGTGCTGAATGCTAAACTGGCTGGCCCCACAAGCCGTAGCTTGATTTGTGGATGGTTTTCAAAGTGGATTTCTCTACCAACTGTGAAATTTCCTGGAGAAATATAACAAATTATGTGCCATTATTATAAATATATAGAAATTAAAATTAAATATCAAGTATCTCTTAATTATTCTACACATAGTTTGCTCTGAGATGTTTAAAATCCTTTGATAGCTTATTTTAAAAACTGTCCTATTCTAGCAATTGTAATCATGAATCGCTTATAAGTTTCTGTTGTTACAAAGTAATTTGTAATAATTATCTTGGTGGAACACTTTACCAGTGGCAGTGGAGAAACCAGAATACTTTCTGAGTACTCATGGGCTGCTGAGGCCTTTTTATAACGGAATACTTTGCGTTTGTATTTCTGGTTTCTCATTTTCAAGGAGAGGGAATTGTTTATCATCCAGAATGGGGACCATACACCTAAGTGTGCTAACTTGCTCCCGGTTGTGTAGGTGGTCAAGAAGTATTAGTTGGAGCCGGGGATGTAGCACCTGCCTGCGAAGCGCAGGGTCCTGAGTTTGATTCCTGTCATCAAAAAAAAAAAAAAAAAAAAAGTGTTAGGTGTCAGCACGCAGTCCCAGACCCTGGGTTACTCGTGGTCTTTAAGATTGTCCTTTGTGCCTCAGTGAAGCAAATGTAGCACAAACCTGGTATTGGCTCTCCTGCTGCACTAGAGATTGAACCCAGGCCTTGTGAATACTAGGCAGGCTCTCCACCACTGGGCTCCTTCCCCTCCCCTTTTGTTTTTTTTTTTTTTTTGAGGCAGGGTTTTGCTGAGTTGTCTAGGCTGGCCACAAACTTGTCATTTTCCTGCCTCAGTCTCCCGAGCAGGCATATCCTACAGCACCCGGCACTAACCTGTCTTAAGAGGAGAGCTCTGCTGTTTCTTTAATAGGACTAAATTTCAAGCCCATGCCCTCCTCACAAAAGAGGGGCACTCTCTAATTGACTTTCAAGCTAAAGTAACACAGGTGGTGAGGCTGATCTCAGGCTGCCTGAATTCCAAGCCCAGGGCACCATCATCTGTGCCTTCCGCCTCTCCCTGTCCTGCTTTCTGGAGTCTGCAGATGCCCCCCTTCCTCAGAGGGCTTCCCACGTGCTATGAGAAGACAGGATGTGTGGGGGTGGCTGAGATGCAGTGGGTTCCGACCTGAAACTCTCCCTGGCCTCTCTGCCAGTCCTAGAGCGCTGCTTCCTAAGTGAATTCATTTCCCACAGGCCTGGGCCTTGGAGCCAGGGAGCAGGAGGCAAACCCTGGGTGAGCCGGGCACGGTGTTTGTTCTGTTTGCTTCCCGGCTGGCCTGGCGTGGGGCTTGTATTCCAGTGTCCGCTAAGGAGACAGGCAGCCCTCTAGGAAGGCTCCGCTTCTTACAGACAGCAAATACTGACAGCAGCACTCTCGGTGCTCGTCCTGTGCCGCTGTGAGTATCCAGGTAAGTAAGTGGG